TTAAATTTAGATTTTACAATTATGAAATACAGTATTTTCTTTAATCTCTGTAACTACAGATACTGTGGAACAGCAAGTAAGTCAAAGATCATAATTTGATAAGTATTGACCAATATTATTTATGTTTTCTAGTTAAAAATTTCCTCTAGCATTATAAATGTGTATGCATTAGTTACACATGCATAATTTGATATTACAGCCACATTTAGCAATACTTTCATCAGATGTTTCCCTCCTTGGTTGTGGCTGTGACTCAGTAGTAGAGAACTTGCCTAGAATGCATGAGATATGGGTTCTACCTAGCACTGCAAAAAATGTTTTGCTCTTTTAGCTGCCTCTTTGTTTCTAGTCTGGCTACTTCTTCTAGCATCAAGTACAAATAATGCCCCAGAGTCTGCCATGCAAAATGTCTGATAACTGGATTCATTTCACTCTTGCTTTTATGTCATAATTTCTTAAGCTTGTTTTCTAATAACTATCTCTATTTCTTTGTCTCCCTAATCTCTTTTTAGCCAAAGCAGAATAAGTATGTTTAGAGTATGCATAAAATATAAAGATTAAAGTCAAGCATCATGGGTCTACTATCACATTTTATTTTATCTTATTTTATTTTACTTTATTTTATTTTATTTTATTTTTTTGCCTGATCCCCTGGGGTCTCTCTACTTCCTTCCTACTGTCCACTGACCTTACTTGGCCCTGATCCCTCTTCACTTTACCACAAGAGAAAGAAAACTAGCTACAGGATGAAGCCAGAGAGAATCAGAACAGACCACTGAGCTGAATCTTACACTGGTAGTCTTTTAAAGAAGATTTTTCAAGAAAATGAACCTTTACAGCTTATAAATACAGCGTCATCAAGGTCCTGAGGAAAATACCTGGTGTTTCTGTCGATAAGCAGCCTACAGTCCTTATGACTCGGTTCTTCAATTCCCTTCTTTCTAATGACAGCCACGGCTTTTGTTTCACTAACCACTTGAAGAGTCTGTATGACCATTTAGTGTCACAAATAGAAAGATTCGTTCACTTCATTTTAAATTTTAACTAAATACATATTATTATTTATAGGCCTCCCCATGTAGCTCTGGCTGATCAAGAAATTGAAATGTAGATCAGGCACATTTCAAACTTGCAGAGATTCTCCTCTTTTGCCTCCTGAGTGTTGGGGAATTTCTTCCATGAACTAGTTTCTTTATAGGCTGTATCTAACACAGTGGGCTCAGAACAATTCTTTAAGTGCTTAAGGTAGGCACATTCTGCTACCCATCTTCTCACAACTTCCTAGTCCAATTCCAAGTTTTTACACTAGTCTTTTTTTTAAAATTTTTTTATTGGATATTTTATTTACATTTCAGATGTTATCCCCTTTCCCCATTTCCTCCCCATCCAGGAACCCCCAATCCCATCCCCCTCCTCCTGCTTTTATGAGGATGTGCCCCCACCCACCCGCCCACTCCCACCTCCCCACCCTTGAATTCCCCCACACTGGGGCATCCAGACTTCACGGGACTAAGGATCTCCTCTCCCACTTATGCTGGACAAGGCTCCCCTCCCCTACATATACAGCTGGAGCCATGGGTTCCTCCCTATGTGCTCCAAGGCTAGTGGTTTAGACTCTGGGAGCTCAGATTGATTGGTACTGTTGCTCTTCCCATGGGGCCTCAAACCCTTTCAGCTCTTTCAGTCTTCTCTCTAACTCCTCTATTGGGAACTCTATGATCAGTTCAATGGTTAGCTGTGAGCATTTGCCTCTGTATATGTCAGGCTCTGGTAGACCTCTAAGGAGACAGCTATATCAGGCTCCTGTCAGCATGTACTTCTGGCATCCACATCAGTGTCTACCTTTGGTGACTGCACATGGGATCGATACCCAGATGTAACAGTCTCCAGACAACCCCTCCTTCAGTTTCTGTTCCACACTTTGTCTCCATATTTGCTCCCATGAGTATTACTCCTTCTAAGAAGGACTGAAGCACCCATACTTTGGTCTTCCTTCTTCATAAGCTTCATGTGGTCTGTGAGTTGTGTCTTGGATATTGTGAGCTTTTGGGCTAATATCCACATATCAGTGAGTGCTACCATGTGTGTTCTTTTGTGATTGGGTTACCTCAGTCAGGATAATATTTTCTAGTTCCATCCATTTGCCTAAGAATTTCTCGAATTCATTGTTTTTAATAGCCGAATAATATTCCATTGTGTAAATGTACTGCTTTTTCTGTATCCATTCCTCTGTTGAAGGAAATCTGAGTTCTTTCCAGTTTCTGGCTATTATAAATAAGGCTGCTATGAACATAGTGGAGCATGTGTCCTTGTTATATGTTGGAGCATCTTCTGGGTATATGCCCAGGAGTGGTATAGCTGGGTCCTCAGGTAATACCATGTCCAATTTTCTGAGGAACTGCCACACTGATTTCCAGAATGGTTGTACCAGTTTTCAGTCCCACCAACAGTGGAGGAGGTGGAGGAGTGTTCCTCTTACTCTGCATCCTCCCCAGCATCTGCTGTCACCTGAGTTTTTGATCTTAGCCGTTCTGACTGGTGTGAGGTGGAATCTCAGGGTTGTTCTGATTTGCATTTCCCTGATGGCTAAGGATGTTGAACATTTCTTTAGGTGCTTCTGAGCCATTTGGTATTCCTCAGTTGAGAATTCTGTTTAGCTCTGTAGCCCAGAGGTTATTTGATTCACTGGAGTCTAACTTCTTGAGTTCTTTGTATATTTTGGATATTAGCCCTCTATCAGATGTAGGATTGGTAAAGATCTTTTCCCAATCTTTTGGTTGTTGTTTTGTCCTATTGACAGTGTGCTTTGCCTTACAAGAAGCTTTGCAATTTTATCAGGTCCCATTTGTCAATTCTTGATCTTAGAGCATAAGCCATTGGTGTTCTGTTCAGGAACTTTCCCCCTGTGCCCAGGTATTCGAGGTTCTTCCCCACCTTCTCTTCTGTTAGTTTCAGTGTAACTGGTTTTATGTGAAGGTCCTTTATCCACTTGGACTTGAGCTTTGTACAAGGAGATAAGAATGGATCGATTTGCATTCTCCTATATGTTGTCCTCCAGTTGAACCAGCACCATTTGTTGAAAATGCTGTTCTTTTCCCACTAGACGGTTTTTAGTTTCTTTGTCAAAGATCAAGTGACCATAGGTGTGTGGTTTCATTTCTGGGTCTTCAATTCTATTCCATTGATCTTCCTGCCTGTCTCTGTATCAATACCATGAGTATGCTCATGCTTCAAGAGAGGCTTGCTTTTTAAAATGGTGTCTGCTAAGGCAAAAAGGAGGTCTGGATGGACCCCAGTGAGACCACAGAATTGCCACTGCCAGTCCCTTCCAGCAGATCTGCAAGCTGATAAAAGATGGGCTTTATCATCTGTAAGTCTTCGATTGTCCGTTCCAAGTTGGATAGCAGGAAAATACACCTTGGCTGGAAGAAGGGCATGTGTGTGAGCATAGCCTTTGTGTGCAAGCCTGAGAAGGTGGTTTGGATGAGAAGGATGAGGATCCTATCCTGGCTTCTCAGAAGATACTGTGAACTTAAGATTGGCTACTGCATGTATCATAGCCTGCCTGCTGGGGATGTGTTAAAAAAACAAACAAACAAAAAACCCCAAAAACAAACAAAGAAAACAAGGGGATTCTCACAACTAATAATCCCTTACCACATATACCTGTGTGTATGTATACACACACACACACACACACACACACACACACACACACAACAAGAAAAAAGAGGCCATTAGTTTGAATGAAAGGTAGGGAACCTATATGGGAGAAGTATATTTTAAATAAAAAAAAATTAAATTGCGCAAAAATAGACCTTTTAAGGAGGACGAGACCAAGAAATAAAGCTCCCCTCTCATGTCTTCAGAAAGTGGCCTTAGTGATATGTAACATGAATCAGCTACTAAAACAAGTCTTCAAAAAGATTTTTGGTACCAAAAGGCATAAGCCTAAGAATAAGAAACAATATAAGTAGTGATGTATGAAGAACATTTTAGGATTTAAAAAAAATTTAAAGGCCTATTCAATATTAGGGTTCAAAGCCTTATAGAAAATAGCAATTATAAGGAATTAGTTAAGCCAAAAGAAGAAACTTACTCATTAACTTAAGACAGTTTTTAGAAATAGATTGTCATGGCTGTGACAGATCAGTTACTTCAAGTTAACCGTCTTGTTGAATGCAGTGACTGCTGTATTAGACAAGCCAGATAGGCAAGAAGAAGCAGAGAAAGCAAGGCTGGGCTGAGAGTCACACCAGTAGTCTTGAAAGAAACAAAAGCAGGCACTGCTTCTTTGTGTATTGAAAGGAGTATACTTTGATTCTTATAAACCATTTCCTCAAATGTAATTTAACCTAGGACACAAGAAGTTCTGAAAATTTGTCCAGAGGACGAGATAGCTCTACACACAGATTCCAGCTAAAGATTATGATGACTCTTTTGGGGGGTGTGGTGTGTCTGCTTCTAGTTAATATTTTTTTATATTTTCAGTGACATGCTTTTGGATCTGTTTTTCCTTTTTTATGATAGTTTTATATTTAATTTTAAAAATTTACTCATGTGTATATGTTTGTCTGTATGTGTTCCATATGTATGCAATGCCCATGGAGTCCAGAGCTGGGCATTGGATCTCCTAGAATTGGAGGTACAGGTAGTTGTGAGCCACCCGATAAGAGTACTGGGATTTGATCCTGGGTCAATCTGTGAGGTCAGTGAGTGCCCTTAACCTCTGAGCCATCTTTCCAGCCAAACAATAAATATTTGAAGGTTAATATATGTTACGGTAGTGCTTTTGTTCTGAAAATGGTTTAGTCTTCAGATTGCTCAGTTATAGAGTATATAAATTACTGAAGTTATCTGTAAAGAGATTATTTTTATTTTCATCTCGCCATTCCCTTTCTGATATCTGAGCTGTTGAAAGCATCCTCGTCAGTGGATAAGGTGCAGCTTGCCTCTGGATGTGTTTGTTCATGCACTTGTAACTCAGTGCTCTTTTACAGATGATTCTCTGGGACTGGGACTTGAAGCAGTGGTGTAAACCTCATTACCAGGTGAGTATGAACAATACTGATGTCTGTTGAAATTACCCATCCTTTAGGTAAAGCTGCTCTCACAGGATTTCTGTATAATAAAATGCTCTTTTTCCGAACTAAGACAGAATCTTCATGGAAGTAGATTTATAAAAGTTTATTAAATATAAAAGAAAAAAATAAAAAACCAAGTAGTTGTTTTGAAAGTACTTCTAATATAATCATGGACCAAAAATAACTAATATCTTTTTAATGAGGACAAGCTGATTTATTTTTATTTTTATCTTTTTGCTTTTTGGTATGGGATTCTGATGTACAAAAGGGAGAGAAACAGATTTTAGGCCATATATGAAACACTAAATCAACTGGCAAAACATTTTATTAGGGAAACAAAATGATCTAATTTCTTTTCTAAAAAAATACTTCTTACTTATTTTTAACATATGTACAGAAAATTGTATGGTTCAGTGGATTCCCACAAGCTAAACCTCCCATTTGACTAGTACCCATGTAAAAGCAAAGCATTACTGTGGCCTCAGAGCCTCACCTGCGTGAATCCCCAGTGAGAATCCCTGTCCTGACTTTTAATAGTTGTTTCTTTTTTCTTTTTCTTTTAAGTGAAGAGTTTTCTTTTCTTTCTTTTTGTTTTTGGTTTTTCGAGACAGGGTTTCTCTGTGTAGCCCTGGCTGTCCTGGAACTCACTCTGTAGACCAGGCTGGCCTCGAACTCAGAAATCTGCCTGCCCCTGCCTCCCAAGTGCCGGGATTAAAGGCAAGTGCCACCACTGTCTGGCCTAATAGTTGTTTCTTATTTTCACATTTTATATATGTATACATAATGGAAATGGAATAATGTATATATTAAGTTCATTGTTATCACTAAAGCATTATATATCATTATCAGAAAATGAAAATAGGAGTATGAGGAGAAAGAGAAAAATAACTTGGAAACACATGCTATTATATTTTATACAAACTGCTGAGTTTTTATTTGGGCAGATCTTTTTAACTTACAAATATTTGCATGTATAGTCTACTCTATAAAATTGTATTTCATATGGCATTTTGAAAAATTTTTTTACAGTGAAAGAGACCTTAAGTATTTAATTATTTATGTTACAGGAGTTTGAATTAACCTCAGCTTTATTTCACTAGTTATCTCAACACCAACTTTAAAAAAAATGCTCCTTTGAACGGATGATTTTTATTTTGTATTTAAATGTTTTTAGTTTATTTTATTATTTTGTGTGTTATGGCTGTATGTATGCATGCCTATGCACCATGTGTATGTTTCAAAGACAAGAAGAGAATGTCTGGAGTTACAGACGGTTGGGAGCCACCATGTGGGTGCTGGGAAATGAACCCAGGTCCTCAGGAAGAGCAGCAAGTGCTTTTAACTGCTGAATTATCACTCTAACCCCTGGGTTTTTGTTTTTGTTTTTTTCATGACGCAGATATTTATTGATTAATTTTCATTAATAAGATGTTTAAGTGTTTATATCATACTGTGTAATACTGTATGTTGGGCATATTTCCCTTCCCATAATCTTCCCCACTCCCTTCTAGTAGTTCCCTTTATTCCCACGATAGTTGTTTCCACTTTCTTCTTTTAGTTAATTAATTTATTTATTCACTTTACATCCCAATATCTGTCCCCCTCCCAAGACCCCCTCGCTCAGATACTTCTCCCATTCCTCCCTCTTTATCTCCTCACAAGCTACACCTCTCCTGCTCCCCTCTCCGGCACATCAAGTCATTGCAGTACTAGGTGCATCTTCTCCCACTGAAGCCAGGTAAGGTGGCCCAGTTAGGGGAACAGGGTCCACAGGCAGGCAGACAACAAATTCAGAGACAGCTCCTGCTACAGTTATTGGGGGACCTGAATAAGACCAAGCTGCACATCTGTTACATATGTGCAGGGGGTTCAGGTCCAGCACATGCTCGCTTTTCCCATGGCAAGAACCAATCCCTGACACTATTAATGTTACTCTGCCATGCTTGCAGACAGGAACCTATGCTAACTGTCCTCAGAGAGGCTTCACCTTGCAGCCAATGGAAAAAGATGCAGAGACTCACAGCCAAACATTAGATGGAGCTTGTGGAGTCTTATGGTAGAGTTGAGGGAAGAATTGAGGGACTGAAGAGAATAGGGACTCCACAGGAAGACCAACAGAGTCATCTAATCTGTACCCTTTGGGCTCCCCGATACTAAATTTTATTTTTAAACAGTATATGCATCAGCCACAATACCCCTAGGATGAAAATGTTCTCTGGACCTTGATAAGCAAAATTATGTTACCACAGTAGTCTGACAAAATCAAGGAGTAGGCCACACCTGACTTGAAATGGTATAGCTTCTTGATGAGCTACTATAATGGACTTTGTTATCATTCATATTCACAAAGATACCCAGTTTCCAGTTAAAAGGGAATCTAAATTACTGGCAAAATCTAAAGATAAAGTAGTAAGGACAGAATCGTGGGCTTGTCCGACAGGCTTGTGTATGATGTTAGGCATCTCTGCCCTTATCAAAGTGTAGCATTCATTGCTAAAGGTACACAGCTCATACATGTTCAACTTGATGTATTTTCTCATACTGAAGAATTAACGTTCCCAGTCTCTCTTAGGCCATCTCTAATCATTCTTATATAATAATTTCAGAGATGCTTAAACATGAGCTCACATCTTTATTTAGTTCTGATATGTATTTCAACCACTTTTCTGTGGAAAGCAGTATTATTCTCAAATTACTTTCAATGAGAGAGATTAGTTGGCATTAGACCAATTCTGGCCTAAAACTAGAAAAGCTGAATTAAATACTATAGTATACATTCAAGGCAACACAACATAGACAAGTATTCAGAGCAGGAAAGGGCAAAGACTCATAGTCAAGACAGAAGATAGAAATGAATGCAAGGGAAGTAGCAGAAGTGCTTTCTCCTCCAGTCCCTTTGGATTGAACTGCCAGAAGCAAAGTAACAGCAGAATATCATCCTCTGGAAAGTCACAATACAGTGCACATGTGTGCATCCACCTGCAGAAGATAACCTGTAGCTGCCTTAAATCAGATTTTTTTTTTTAGTGTTAAGCTTTCTGTATAACAAATACATATTTTTCATTTTTTTTTGTTTTTTAGAATTCTGGAGGAGGAAATGGAGTTGATCTTTCAGTGCTAAATGAAGCTCGCAACATGGTGTCAGACCTTCTGATTGACCCAAGCCTTCCCCCACAAGTCATTTCTTCTTTGCGGAGTATCAGTAGCTTGATGGGTGCTTTCTCAGGTTCCTGTAGGCCAAAGATGAATTCTTTTACACCATTTCCTGGATTTTACCCCTGCTCTGAAGTAGAAGATCCAGTAGAGAAAGGAGATCGAAAACTTCACAAGGTTAAAATACAGTAACCATCCAGCCTTATTTATCTCATTTAATGATTCGTTTTCATTAAAAGATTCCTCTAAATGTTATATAATACACCATTTCTTTCCCAAGGATCAACTTCTTTTATATCATGCTGCTGAAGCTTTATGGACAGTTATAAATGAAAGCAATTCTGCACTCACTTTTCAGTAATTTCTTCCCAGGGCTGAGGATTGAACCCAGGGCCTTACATATATGCTGGGCAAATGTAATGCCTCTAGCAATTTTTATTTTAAGTATCACTGTTATATTTAGCAGTTATCATTTTTGTGCTAAGAACTATTTGATATCATAGTAACAAGTAGAAAACAGCAAGGAACTTAATTCTAGGCTTATATAAGAGAGATCATGTCATTAATCTCTTTTCATTTATAGAGTTCAGGAATTACATTGGTCGAACCAAGGACAAATGGCCAATATAATAATATATTATTATTACTAAATAACTTTTACAGATTTAAAACCCTAACTCTGTTTACTTCCTGGCATTTTTACAGCTCAGTGAGCACTGGTTTTTCCATAATTAGATATGGAATTAATTTTGTCTTGGTACTTAGAAATAAGATTTACTTTAGAAACTAATACATATAGGATATATTAACTTGGTACACATTATGCTGGTTTATTTTGCTGTTACCTATCTATTGTTGAGTTGTGACAGCTCTCCAATATCTAAAATCATAAGGCTTTAAAGCTAGAAATATTTTAGGGATTATTGTAGTTTAATTGCTAAGAACTGACTAAGGAAAGATAAAATTCATATAAGTTAGTTTTTAAAAATTGTACTAGTTTATACAGAACCTAGAAGGAGTTTTTTTGAGTTAATTTGGTTTTGTCAGTCTCAATATTAGGGTTTATAAATGTTGAAAACTTAAGCAAGGACAGTTGTAGACTTTAAAACTATTGATCATCTGGGTTGTAGATAGTTAATTGAAGTTTCTACTTTTAAAAAGTTTAAAAAATAGTGTCCATATTCACTAGAGTTCACCTCACAATGGTCTTGATTCCTGTAACTTTTTAGTACACCACATACTTGCAAGCACCCTAAGGGGATGATAGTAGTTAACGAAACTCTTAACTATTCTTGAGTTTTCACCCAATATGTTTTTCTTATTCATTTTCCACTGACATTAGTCTAAGGTAGTGATTTTTAAAGAGAGTAATTCTTTAAAATTGTAATCATTAGCAGGGAATAATTGCTCCCTCCTGTAACTGCAACACTGGGGATTTGGAAACTGAGGACTGCTACATACTAAGACTTTGTCCTAAAACTTTAAAAAAGAAAACTATTGTAATCAGAAAAGCCCCACTGAAAACATTATTATGCTGTTGTATTTAGTGTATAGAAAAGTTTTCTTGTAGATTTAAAAAATATTTTAAACATGATATTAATTAAGTAGAATGTCTAAATAGCTCATTTTCTAAGCTTTGTAGTTAATTATAGTAATTTAGAGTACTGGAATCTGCTGATGTAATTCATTTAAAAACAAGGAAGTAACAATCTTACCTTTTCTTTATGTTCTTTAAACTCCTTATTAGAATTTGACATCTAATTTGTCTCTGACTTTAGAAAAGCATATAAACACAAAGGTTTATTTTAAATCAGAAAATAGTCTCAGAATTTGTGAAAAAATAATTAGTAAAAGGAAAGGGGATGGGAACAAATGATTCTTTTTTTTCATTAATTTATTTATTCACTTTATATCCTGATCGAAGCCCCCACTTCCCCCAGTCCCACCTGACTAGTCCCTCTCCCCAATACTCCTCCCCAAGGGGAAGTCCCCTATGGGTACCAGGCTGCCCAGGCACATCAAGTCCCAGCAGGGCTAAGCACATTTTCTCACATTGAGGGCTAGCTTATGGGAAGGGGATCCAGAGGCAGGCAACAGGGGACAGATAATTCAGTAGAAGTGTGGTTTTTTGTTTTGTTTTGTTTTGTTTTTTTTTACATAGGTTACAAACTAGGGTTGTATTACATCTAACTTACCATGAACTTTTGTAAAATCAGTGTTCTCATGAAAACATAAATACAGTATTTAGCTTTCTGATATTGTTGTAGTGTCTCTAATGCAGGAAATGTATAAAGCAGACATTATATTAGATGTACATCATGGGCACATTTATTTATAATAGTTTAAGGAAAGTATTATTCCCTTTACCTGATGTTTAGATCAATTGAGGATTTACTCAAAAATTACAGTAAAATAACATTTAAGATGCTCTGTACTTAAGTTAATCATTAATTTTAAAGGTAACTGAGAACCTGGAGCTTTCCCACATTAGCTATTATGAGCTTATTTACCTTATGCTGAAAATATAAAAAGTGGTGACTACCCTGGGCCCTACCTTGTACTCTGAAGTGGATTTTTAGTGTCAGTCATCCATGACCACTTTTTAAGTTTTGATTTTTTTCACTCTTGAAACTATAAATAAAATGTAAAAATTAAAAAGTGTAGTTTATCATAAGAGTTCAGGAGCTTTTTGATTAAGAAAAAATAAATAGTTAACAATATCAAATGTGGAAATTGGAAGTGGAAGTAGAAAATTGGAAGATTTTCAGAGTGAATTTTTGTTTTACATGTATGTATTATATTGATTTTTGATGTGTCATTATATGTAACATATTAAAGGATGATAATTTAGCTGTTTTGAAATTATTCGACAGGGATTGAGTAGCAGAACCAGTTTCCCAACTCCACAGCTGAGGAGGAACTCAGGAGCATCAGCATGGCTGACTAGTGAGCACTACTCAAGATTGGATCGCAGCAGTGGCAGGAGGCCTTACCAAGAACTCAGTGTTTCAAGGTAAAACTCTGGGAACCTTTTCAATGTAAAGCATCCTTCCCCCCCCTTTTTTGACAAGTTTGTTGTAGTTTTAAAATCAAGAAAGAATTGTTTCAGTATTTTAGTACAATGTAGGTTGTAATTCTTAAACGATGTAAAGTCTGAGAAGGCCCCAAATATAGAGGCTATATTGAGACCTCTAGCTAGTGTTTTAGTTCTTGTCTATGTCAATGAAAAAAAAATGGAATGAGATAAAGTATTGGAAGTTAACTATAAGGCGGAGAAATACTATTCTAGGAATGAGTGAAGGCTTCTGAAGAGTGTAGTGCTATGGATGACTTGAAGGGCAAGTTTAACTCGAGGGAAGTATTGCTCAAAATATTATTCCAAAGAAAAGAAAAATCAGAGAATTCTAGATATGGTTGGAGGTTTCTTTGGAGTAGGGTTACTACCTTTTCTGTCTTTATGTGGTTTTTCAGATGCATGGTGAGAAAATACAGTTTTGAGTTACCTCTTGTTTTTATTAAGCTTGTGTAGCCTACCTTATCAATAATAGTTTCAATCAAGAAACTATTAAAAAGAAAGTAACAATTTATCAAAGCTTAGGCCAGCTGGATACAGAGGATGTTGGAATCTTTAAATACCATATCTATGAGATGGCTTGGGGCAATAGTTCTCAGCCTTCCTAATGCTGTGACCCCTTAATACAGTTCCTCATGTTGTGTTGACTCCCAACCTAATATTATTTTTGTTGCTACCTCATAGCTGTAATTTTACTAGTGTTATGAATCATAGTGTGAAAAATCTGTTTTCTGATGGTCTTAGGTGACCTCTGTGAAAGGGTCATTTGCATCCCGGGGGGTTGTGACCCACAGGTTGAGAACCTCTGGCTTAGGGGAACTAAAATCAATTAAACATACTGTATTCCTGGGCCCTTTTGGCCTCTTCTGCAGAGGCTGAAACCTAGAGCACTCCTACATGCTAGGCACACTTTCTATTATTATGGTTGGGCATCTTTCAAATTTATGGAAGCAGTCACTAATCCATTGTGTAGTATGCCAGTTACTGCCTTGGAAAAGACAAATCATATTCTCTAGTCTTATCATAGTTGCTTGTTTAAGGTAGCGAGAATGTTCCAAATCCTGTTCCTACTTAAAGCAAGACTACATACATATTCTATAATCCCTAGAGAACTAGCTTGAAATGAAATACCTTAACTCAGAAATCACAGTTAAATGAGGCTGGGAAAATACAGGAACTAAAATTTTATGAATATTAATAAATACCATTTCCTCAATAACAGAGGATTCAATTCTTATGCCCTTTGAAAGCCATGAAAGATATTAATCTTTTTCTTGTGTGGGTAGAAACTTCTTTTCAGTCAGTTATCTGAGGTAGTTGAGTTGTAATGAATGGAAATTCCATGTTAGGCTACACGATCTTACTATTGAGCAGGTGTCAAGCTAAACTTTGTTTGAGCTGTGTAATTTACACATTTGAAACAGTAGATGGCAGGATTGATACATAGATATTCATATTGTTAAGCTCAATGTTAAGATTTATGTGTGAAGTATACTCAGGTAATTATAATTACCACATTCTCTTATGTTTTTTAACTTAAATTTTGTTGTGTTTGATCAAATTAATTCCTTTCTCATAAACCTTTAATGTGTAGAACAGTAGAGTGAAGTATGAATAATTTATAGTACAGAAGAATGAGAAGCAGTAAAAAATTTTGTCTTGAATGTAAACATGATTTTTTTTAAATTAAAGTATGATACAGGCTAATGAGAAACAGGAAAGAGGAGTAAGCTGAAGACTTAGGTTTCTTTGTCCTAGGAAGGAATCATCATCTTGGAAATACCTAGTTGGGTTTAAGTTTTGGTTTTACTCTTTACATTTGAAGTACGGCAATGTATTTTCAGTTAAAGATGTTTGACGTATTAAATTCAACTCATTTTTATCTAAGTTCTGCCTCAGATAATTGTAATAAAAATACGACCTAGATAAATGTTCATCTTCAATTGATAAATGTTTATGAGGTTCACAGATTCTCTGGATTCAGTAAACATATTCAGACAGACTAATATTTTTCATCAAAGATTTAGAAATTTGGTCAAAAAAGTAATTGGTTTTATGATGTATGACTCCTTTGAATAGACATATTCCTTAAATGCTAAATATAGTTTTTCTAATATACAGAAGCTGCAGTTACTCCATAATAAATTTCCAAATGTTCTTTATACATAGTTGGGACAACATTGTGTGTTAGCTAGTTTTATATAAATTTGACATAAGCTAGGGTCATCTTGGAAGAGGAACCCCAGTTCTATCACGCACTTTAGGCAAAGCTGGTAGGGCATTTTCTTTATTGCTGATCAATGTGCGAGGGCCGAGATCTCTGTGGATGTAGCCACCCCGGGGCTGATTGTGTCCTGGGGACTATAAGACAAGCTGAGCAGACACTGTAGGGCAAGCATTAAGCCCCACTGCTCTGTGGCCTCCACCTCGAGTTCCTTCCCTGACTTCTGTCAGTGATGGAGTGTGAACTGAGAGGTAAGAGCTGATATGAATAAATCCTTTCCTCTCCCAAGTCGCCTTTGGTAATGGAATTTAATTACAGCAATAGAAACCACAACTGAGATAGTCAGGAATCTGTAAAACAGCAGCAACCACCACTCTTTTCTAATACAAGTCTCTGGATCCATGCTATACAAAATAAATTAATGCAGAGACAAATATTTTACATCTGCACTAAGTTGTGGCCTATAGCTACATGTGGATATTGAACATTTGGAATGTGTCCAGTATGACTGAATCATTGAATTTTAAGTAAATATTAGAGAATTTAATGTAAAAAGTCATGTGACCATAATATAGATATATACTAAATGACGTCAATTAATACCAGTGGTACATTTATCCAGGAAACTTGAGGGTGTTTTGTAATAGCTCTGTATTCACCTTGATAATATTATAGCTCTCTTTCGTCCTAGGTTTTAGGATCTTGATTTGAACTCAGTTTTGTGTCTGATTATAGTTTCCTTGACTATGAATCTAACGTGATTACAGTATTAAACCTCTCTGAATGTAACTGAAACCAAATTTCTCATCCCTCAGATGTCTTTTTTTTTTTTTTTTTT